TTGACTCAGTGTTTCTTGGAACATTTCTAGACTGACCTTTAAGGGGTCGCCACAGCAAATCCTCCGTCTCAGAATAACCCCACCTTCTACATCTTGTTCTCTCACACCTACTGTCTCCATGTCCTCTTTAACTTCATCTATTAATATCTTCCTTGGTTTTTTTCCATGCCCGTTTTAGCATCCTTCTGCCATTGTACTCACCATCTTCCTCCGCTCATGTCCAAACCATCTCAGACCTTCATGAAACATCATGAGAGCATCTGAGGCACTTGCTATAAAAACCCTGTTAACTCACCCCTCCCCAGATGTTGCATCTGGGGAAAAAAGTCCCTGATGGCAAGGGAATATATTTACCCAACTCTGACCAAATATTGAGTGCATTCTGCTTTTAAACCCCCTTTAGTACAACATATAATGGATTGATGAATCTACTGCAAGATTAGTATTTACATGTCTGGGATAGGCATGCCCATGTCATTTCACATACCGTCTATGTTTGGCCAAACTTAGGCAGGTAAGGCATCTGGCAATTAGAGGCTTAGGGAAGAAAGCACATGGCTAAAAGTATATTCTATTTGAAAAATAATGTTTCTCTTTAAGATGGACCAAGCTGAAGTCATCAACCAAAAACAAAACCACAGCTGCTACAGCTCTTTGCTGTGGGGAACATGTTTACCAGGGCTGATGCCGACTATGGACTCTCCTCAGTGTCTGAATCAGAAGATGATGAAATGGAAAAGAACTGAGGATAGGGACTGCAGAACTGTAAAGAATACTATTAGTTTTGAGCTGACCTTAACCCAAAACAAGGATGCCCAAGAAAACTTGAGACTCAAAGCTCAGAGGATCTAGAACATAAAATATCAGAAGCTATTGCCATCCAAAATTGGAAGAGTCCCCTGAAATGGAAAATATATGCAACATTAAAGGGTTTTGGAAAAAAAACATAATTCTTTATTTGGGACACAGTCCTTTACCCCCAAACTTTCTCCTAAGCTAATATAAAACATAAAGATGGATTAATTAGCAAAAAGTACTTGAAAATCCTCTGACATCTTGAGGTAAAATTGCGTTACGTAGAAACTTTAGCCATGACGCCACCTAATACCTAACATATTTCAATTAAAAACTCTTGACTGAAAACTAGTGAAACCCAACTAAACTAAACTACTATGTACAAAGTGGAAGGGAAAACATGGTTGTAAACCATATGGATCATGTGTTTGAAAACCAAAGTTTATCTTTAATGAATTTGGGATGAGATCCAATTTAGCTTTTCACAAATTTAGAGCAATTGGAATGTTTTCAAACAAATCTACAATGGAAATCCATGAGGTGAATAAAATAGTATTTGGCCAAATCATGTTTTATTTATTATTTCCTTATTACTTGGTTAATCAGGAACCAATAACCTTTAGTTAAATGATTCTTTACCCTGTTTGAAATAGCTAGCAGCAAATAGACACGAGGAAAACATAAAACTAACATTATATCACTGTTTAAACTATTAGTGGAATAAAGCTTTTCCAAGCTTTAACAACAGTTCAAAAACATATTACTGTAGCATAGCACACTGTACCATGGAATCCACTCTGTTAGCTTTGTCTTTACTTATCATTAAACAATTGAAATGATCAAAATCATCAAAATACATATTGTTTTCCCTAACTCTGCCAGACCTTATACCTCTGTTCCTGTAAATTTATCAAGGCTTGAGTTTTCATCTAGCAACAGCTTAGCATGGCACTCTCACAGCAAAGGCTCTTTTTTTTTTCTTTGTCCCATGAAGCTCAGACCAAAGGAACGGTTTCTTCAGGAGACTTTCCCCTCTAGTCCAGTGCTGATAGTTCTGAAACTTAGAGAAATGTGTTGCAAACTGCCTGTTTTTCAGCAGTTCGGTAATGGAATATCAACCATCACCACTTAGCCTCGGTCATCCTGGAGATCTGGGCCTGGGTCTCCATGGTGGTTTCCTCTTCCAATTTGAACAGCTTCAAGGAAAGACAGAAAAATCATGTGTGCAGTGTTTTTTTTTACTGTTCTCAGCTCTGTGGGGGGAGTCAAGGCACACCTCTGTGTGAGGTGTCCTGCAGAATTACCTGGTCTGAGAGTTGTGGTTGGTGCTGCACCAACCTGTTATTCACTACATACCATAATACATTTTTTTTTTTTTTTCAAAATGATGCATAGTTCAATTAAGTTGATATATAGAAATGATCATCTAGAATTGTTGAAAACATTTCCTTTAGCTACTGCAGTAAAGCATCTGTCATGTTAACATTTTTTCCTGCATTATTTTGACCTTTACACTTTAAGTAATTTTAAAAACTATACTTTTAAGCCTTTACTTAATTATAAAGCTGAAGTTGATACTCTTCTGCAAAAATGTTTTAAACAGTATATTTGAGTAATAAATTCTACTTGAGTAAAAAACATTAATGCTTTTGACACCTCTGATTATAAATGCTCATTTTCTTTCACATATTTTGAGTGAAATCACTTCTGTATCCGAAGCACAAATGTCAAAATAATTGTATGACACAAGTTAATGTTGTTTTACGTTTTATTAATAGCAACATCAGAGTACTAAATGTACAGAGGACGAATCCAGTGAGAATCGCATTTACAGTGCTTGCAAATACAGAGCTTAGTAATACAAGAGTAACCAAATCATAGTCACCTGGAAATTGAAACGTTTACCAATTACTACAAAAGGAAGAGATGTGGTTCATAAGACACAAAACAAAAGTTATACAACGTTTAGCCGTCACAGAGACAGACTGAAGTCCCTTTTTTTGGAGGTGTACAATGTGTGTGTATGTGTGTCTGTAGATACTGTTGTAATATGTCTTATACAAAAGTTAACAGAGGTACTCATTGATATATTAAACACAATTATAAAAAGTTTAAGAGTCACAAAGTACAAACTCTCAATTTTTATGGCGACAACACAACTCGAGTCATTTTCCGTTATTGTAAGCATGAATGCGCTGTTATCGAGTGGAAATGATCAAAGCATGTCTGCTCCGTGTTAGAGAAAGAACATAAATCATCACTGACTTTACCTCTGTCTGTAAACACAATGTCTGATATTTATGACATTTTCCTTTTTCATATTAGTCATACCTATACCTCTGATTTTCTAATCACAAAACAGGCCCCATGAGTCTGTCACAATTCTCTCCCTGTTCCTTTCAGATTTCCTTAACATGTCAACCATTCAGGTCTGCGCTCTGTTGCAAAAGGCATCTTACAGTGCTAGAGGCCTTCTGTGTGAATCAACGGCAGATTTGGGTCATGTTTCTACTCTACCTTTACCATATGCATAAAGAGAAGTTGCAAACAAAATGCTTCTCTTTCCTTTTCCAAGTCGCTCGCTGTGTGGATAAGCACCAGCAGTGCTTTAGCTCTTGTGAATAAAACAAGGAAAAAGATGACCCAAGAGCAGAGTCAAAGCCCTCTGCTGCAGTTACAGTAAGCGCACAGTATGTGATTTTCCTGAAACAATGAGAAGAAGCAGACGATCTATAGTTTCCTGACAGCTAAGGAGTTGATTAAGATTTATCGTCAAATCGGACGTTTATCTCCTGCTGCAAAGTTTCACCTCATTGAGCACCCTATTGACTTTTATCAAATGCAAACCACCACCTTGTCATCATCAATAACATTTGTGTTAAATGCTTGTGAGAGACACCAGAAGCTCAAATTGGTGGTGAACCATTTAATTGATTCAGTTTCTCATATTGTAATGACATTTAATGATATACAGTAATGGGGAAATAAAAATGGACCTTTGAAATGTTCAGCAAACATTTCGATGTTCGAACAATACATATGTCGATACGTTCCACTTCGAATGTCTGACATGCAAACAAAAATCACAGGACCTGTAAATTTGTTTTATCGTTCTTCTGGACGGAGCAAACCTTTGCTGATCGATAGTGTCTTTGTGCTAAGGGGAGCCTAGAAATGTATAGACAAGTGAGGTAACAGAAACCAAAGCTGCAGAATAATGATTTGGTTTATAAAACAAAAGCATCTGTCAGTAAAAATAAAATCTAAACAAAATTTATTTTATTTCTATACCAAGTCTACCAAAAATGGAAAGGATGATTTCAGACAGCAACTGGTGTATTAGATTGTGAAAGGAGTTTAATGAGTTTAAATGTTTTTACAACAAAATGCTGCAGTGGGTTTAAATCAGTTTGCAATGGTTTCCTGCTATGCAGAAAAATCTGTTGAAAACGCAACAGCCCTGGTGACACCACCATCACATCTGTCATTTGAATGTTATGTGTAAAATTAGCTAACGATCTCACACTGCAAAACGATGTAGAAATAAGTAAAACTTTCTTAAACGGAGTGTATATACTCTTAAATTGAGCAGGTAAATAAGATTATTTGCAATAGAATGAGCATTTTTTTACTGTTAAAATAAGAGAATTAGTTAATATGCACTTGAAATAAGACAATGCATTTTTTTTATGTTATATGTCAATTGTCTTGTTCCATTGTTCCAAATGTTTCACTTCCCTCCTAAATTCCAGAAAACAATATTTTAAGCAAAAATTATGATTTAGATTATTTAGATTTAATTTTTTGAAGTGCACAAACCAGAAAGCTTTTCATCAAGAGACCTTCAATTTGACCTCGCTAAGGGTCATAAACCTTCTGTAAGAGGGTTGCAATTTTCTTTTCCAAATATCTGGCTTAGTAACATCTCCAATATTGATTTAACCAGAAAAAGATGTGTTACCTTAAAGCATGTACAAACATGGGTCTTGAAATGGAGAAGAAACACATTTTTTTAACTGATTTGTTGTTTTTTTCCCCACAGATTCAGATCATTGTTTCTTATAAAATTAGCATCCTTCACTTTATTTGTCAATTTCTGTAGTTGTTCCAGAGATGAAATAAAAAATAAATAAAAAAGATAAAAATAAACTAGGGGGAATGGTAGCAAAAAACAAAAATCAAACAAAAAAAAAAACACTGGAAAAAAGAAAGAAATGATCAAAATTAGCTGGATTCTTGGCAGCAACAGTTGTACTAGTTTGTTTTCATGACTCTTTATTTTAAATTCCACCTATAAATGCTTGGGAAGAGCATGTCATTGGGTTCTAACCAGAACTCAACATATGACCACATAACCTGATAAAACCATCCAGCACTCCTGCTTTTAGATATTTCACCTGGAGATAACTTTTAAGCCAGTGAACTATTGCAGCGTCTACTAAATTATTATACTGGCTACCTAAATATATCATACAAGTACGGCTTGAAAGTGCGGATAGGAAGCTTGGCACAAGGTTAGTTTTGTGTGTTTTGAAAGAAATACTGTAGATACACATGTAAACAAAGACACTATCCCCGACCTCGCTCGAAACCTTTCTCACAACTGGAAAGGCCTTTAAAAATAGAACACACCTGTACACAAATAGAAGCAAATATATAGAAAATACATTTACACGTGTATAATATACAGCAGGTTTCATAACACTCTGATAGAGAAGGTAAGATTCTTCATTCAAAAAATATATGTTGTGTTTAAGAAGCAACACAGCCTGTAACACGATTGAGGCTGAACCAGTGGGTATTTTGTTGGAGCTTTTTTTCATGTTGTGAAATGGGCCGAAAGGAGGAGTTTTGCACCACAGTGTTGATCCCAACTCATTTTTACACCACAGCAAGGGCTTGCATTTACCCACAAGGTGTTTTCACACATGCACTATAGTCCTGGAATGTTCTAGAGATTATTTGGCAGGATTTGTGTCAAAAATCCTTCACAGACTCTTTAGGCTACCTTGTAAAAAAAAAAAAGAAAAAGAAAATTAAAAGAAAATCTGGAAGAACAACTACTGAGAAAATGTGCAAAGACAGCAAATGCATCTATTTTCCTGGTGACTGGTTCTTCAATTTGATCCATAAAATCATGGAAAGGAGATTGTAGTTGTAATTTCTGCAGAAAATTAATTGTAGGGATTTTTATTTTTCATGTTTGGCATATTCTACTGAAAACCTATGTGTTTCTTTGAATTCTGTCCTGCTCACAGTTTCCCCCTCTCAGCTCAGCGATTTCATCTTCAAAATACATTTTCTATTGCGGAATGCTTATGTGAAATCCCACAAAAAAAAAAAAAAAAACACATTCTCTGCACAATCCCCAAAACATCTTAAGTCAGTCATGTGTGAAAACAGCCTCATTGATTTTACTCTGCCTGTTTCCTTGGTACATTTTAGAAATTGAGTAACTAAATTTGTGTATTACCAGAAATAAATTCTCAACACCCAGTGAAACAGTTTAAATCTGTACATATTGCTGTATGCAGCCAAATCTGTTTTTTACAACTACATCATTTTATTTGTGCTTTGTACAAACCTACAGCACAATTACAGATAGATTATTGGACAGTTTCACAAAAGCTTCAGAGCACAAAGGTAATCAGAGCTTGAAGTTTTAATAATAATAAAGACATTGGTGCTATAAGGCTCTTAGGAGAGCTTAACTATTCTTCTCCCCATACAGTTCAGTTGACTTAACTTCAGAGACTATTTCAACAAATGTGTTATCGGTTTTTTGGCTTGTCTTAATCATTTCAATTTAACAAAACAATCAGCATCAGATTTTTTTTTTTAATAGGATTACCTCTGATGTAACTGTATTGTTCTCTTCATACTCAATTGATTTTGATAAAAACTGGTGCATTTCATTTGCTTTGGCCAGGCTTCTTCTGGTGGAATACAAGGGGAGTCTACAGACAGTTGCTCTTTATAACAAAACTCATAGGGAAAATGCTGAGAATTATTGTGCCTGAAAGGAGCGTGCCTTTGTTGCTGTCTTGCTAACTATTCTTAAGCAGAATGCTTCTTCATCCAGATAAAAAAAAAAAAATGATTATCATCATTTTCAGCTTTAAAATAACTTTTTTTTATTTAGAAACTTTTTAATTAATCTTCTAATCCAAATAATTTCAAAAAATTAGATTTGTTTGTCTAGGTTTTAAGTAAAATATACAGATAACAGATGTACTAAGACAGTTTGAGTGTCCTGTTAAACTCCCTGCAATTTCTTTTGGCCCTTTATTATCCAACCAGTTGAACCTCGGGCCTCATTTATAAAAGATTGCGTAAGAGCCATAATTAAAATGTATGTAAGCCAAAACGAAAATGGCATATACCAAAAAAAAAAAAAAAAAAAGACATAAAACCATGCAACTACTTTTCAGCACAGAATTTCCCTTTATATGTAATCTTTCCTTCTCATATCCTGCCCTTTACAGCCCCACATTAAGTGATAAATGATCAATGCAAAGGACCTCATGAATGTTCATGTGTATTCAAATGAGCCTTCTTAACAGTTGAATTTTATGGTTAAACATAGCGAACATGGAGAAAAGAACAAAAGCAAGTCAGAAATAGATATGTTGGTCAGTTAGGTGAAAGTTTGAAAAAAAATATCATGTTTAGTAACCACAGTGATATAAAAAAGAACAATACATTAACAATCTGATGTATGAACTGGTCACATTAGTAATGCCATCCAAAAAGCCGCCTTGCACTGGTTGTGATATTGTGGACCTGTAGAACATTTTATGGAATTATTTTGTTTCTAAAAATGGTTTAAGACAGAGATTTGATAAATTGTTGATTATATATAATACTTTGATGAATACCTTTACTTGCAAAGGAAAAATAAAAAAAAAAGTCGAAATTCAACACTCTGGATGTCTATAGGATTTAGTAAACATTTTGGCTACAGTACATCAGCTTATCATATTTAGATGGTTCCCTATATTTCTATAGATAGGTAAATATCTTTTATCTGTAATAAGCTATGACATGTAGCTGAATAGCGAATACTTTTTTTTACTCATATTAAATATATATTTTATGAAATATTTTTAATATAATTTATATTTACCACATAGTGCTGGTTATTCATATTTGTGTTTCTTTAGAACCAGCTACTCTTCAATTTTTTTCTACATTTGTGTCTTTTTGGTTAATACGTGATTACCATTGATGAACATGCAAAGGTCGGCACAAATATCAACAAGCAATCCTCTGTGGGCTGGTTCCTCAAATCTGGTCCTTAGGGTCCATTGCTTCTCTTTCAACACAACTGAGTCAAATAATTAGGTCATTAGCATGACTCTAGAGAACTTTACTTTACACCGAGGAGGTCATTCAACCTTTGGTTCAGGGCTGGAAGCAGAGACACATCTAAAAGGTGCAGAACACTGAGACATTGAGAACCTGAATTGAGGAACTGGCTCTAAGGAGTACAGGGACTCATCTTATAGGTCTGTCATAATCATTATCGGGAAAATTTTTGTGATCTCTAAAAATGCTTTCCCTCTTAATTATCCGACTTGCAAGGTCTTCCAGCATTCCCAATGCACCCATTGATGAGCAGCACACCCGTGTTTAAATGTTTACAGCCAGCAGTGGGATTTTCACACACCTTGTCACAATTTATGCATTAATTAGATGTACACATCACTCTGGTGATCATCTGTGAGAAGAATGAAATGGTGAGAAAAACATTGCTGTAAATAATAGGCAGACTGATTAAAGATTAAAGCTGGCTTATAAACCTGTTTTTATCTATGTGACAGGTCCCCATGTATAGTTATGTCTGCCTCACAAGCATATCTATTACTCTGCAGTTTTTAAATGCTAATGATAGAATCAATCTATGATTACAGTTTTATGTGGAGTAAAACTGAATGTCTAAGAGCAATCAAAACGCAGTGAAGCTTTAATTCCCCACATTGCCATCTGTCTCCATAACAAGCATATGCAGGAGTAAGAGTTGCCATGAGGGATGCTTAAGTTGGATTTTTTAGGGTATCACGACCTTTACATGAAAAACTGCTCACACAAGATTCAGGTTCAAGAATATGTTGTGCTAAACAACCTTTATAAATGAGACCTCTGGTGTTGTTGCATGGGCCATCACCACATTCGGAATATGTTTTAATTAACCTTACTTAGACACATACGTCACATAAGAAGCAGTGCTATGGGTATTGGACTTGTTTGGACCAGGTGTAATCATTTTATCTCTCAATGGAGGCCTTGTAACAACAGAGCTACCTCTTCATATAGACTTACTTTGTCAGGACTGCAGCAGGCTCTTTCTAGATGTACAAAAATAGACATAACTATTCTGGTTTTAAAATGGGACTTTGTACAAATAAGATCTTTAAAGTCAAATTTCCAATAAAGCATAAACCACCTACAGATTTATTTTCCAGCTCTTCTTTTTTTGATTTGTAGAAACATGTTTTAGACTCTTTTGCAACGCATTTCTCAAAATTACTTCAAAACATTTTCAAATACATTTATAGTTGTTTTTTGTTTTTCTTTTTACATTTCGTTAGAAAAATGACAAAAAAAGAAAAGAAAGAAAGCAATAGGAGCTCATACAGTATTATTATAACACACTTTGTTTAGTCCTTCAGTTTTTTTTTTTTGTTTAACCTCCTTTTATCCAGGTAGTGGCACATAGTGGCATTATTGGCACATTGTTCAGAAATACAGTTTGTCTTCCGCCTAAAGCAGCTTCTTGGGCTCCTTTACCTAAAGTCAAATATTTTCCATGAGACATCTTTGATGTCCGTAGTCTTGTTCCATACATCCTGTAAATATATCTATATATATCTATGTATATATATATATATACTCTCTACCTAAATGAATTCTGTTTCTCAGGAAAGATGGAGGAGCGGCTCAACAGCTGTTCACCTTGTTTACTCTAGAAAAATAAATATCTTCAAAAGTGTCCAAGTAGAGATTACACTATTTTACAAAATTTGCTGTTTTTGTGAGTTTGTCATTTCCAGCTGGATCCTGTGAAAATGCAGAAAAAGGAAAATAAAATTCAGTTACTCTTTATTACGAAGTCATTCAACACAGACATTATTTATTGTTAAAAATATCCCACTTTCTAGTTGCATTACAGGGTTGGTACCAAATCTGGTATCATTACACAACAAAATATGCACAGCATTTAAATAACATGCAGCACTCAAAAGACAATAATAGTAAGGCTAATTGTACGAAAAAATAATCAAAATAAATACACAAGGCTGCAAAGATAGTGAGAAGTTTTGTATTTTATTCAAAACGAAAGAGCATGCTGTGAGAAACTGAAATTTCCAAGTGTAACAAAAGCAAGAAAGGAGAGCCTCTCTATATTACATGCTGGTCATTCATTTCTATAAAAATCTGGTTCAATAGCAGCATTTCTTTTCTGCTTCCACCAACAGTGCAGCGCCAAAGCATTTGTTTAACATTTACATTTTAAATTCTAAATGTCGCATAATTTGAAGATCAGATTTGTGGGCAGTATTAAAACAAAAAACATTAATTTGAGTTACAGTTTTATGACAACTAAATGTTAAATATCCTTAAGGGAATAACGTAGTTAAGGTAGAAAATGTTACACTATTGATATACCGTACATTTTCCACTACCACAAAAAACCCAGTGGTCAATGCTGCCACCACTGTGTATTATTGTGGTTCCAGCATCATAGAACTATTAGGACATGATCTTCAAAGAATCCAAATAAGGAGCGCTATAAAGCCTGCACAAAAATGTTTGCAATGTTGCGTGTTGTGATTGCTGTGCAAATGTTAAGAGATGAAAATAAGTTTGATTCAGCTCTATAAAAATGAGCAGATTGCTCTTGTCACTGGCAGTTTGACATTGGCTAAAAAGAGAATAGAAAGATAAGGTTCTAAATCACCCAGTCAGATGTAATAATGGTAATAATTCATTTAAAAAAAATGGTCATACAAAATCCTATAGAAATAACACAGTTAGCACAAGTATCTCAAAGTGCTGTGTACAAATTCAATAAATAAAATAAAATAACAGAAGTTAAAGTTAATTTTCTTTTCAGAAATTTGGACAGTTTGATTAAATAGTGCTCCAAAGTTTGGGTTAAGATTGAAAAAAATCATTCCCCACATGGTAAGTATTTACATTTGCATCTCCTCCACCCATAAATGTTCACAGTTTGGTTATTAAAACAAAATTTGGGTGTTGATGAAGTCATACACGAAAATAGATTTGCACAGGCTGCCTTTTTTTTGCACATACAGATTGATTAGCGCCTACTTTTTAGTTCTGCTTTGTGCTCGCAAACAAGCTTGTATGTGTTTTACTATGCATAAACCTCTGAAGATTAGGCCCTTAAAGTTCTATCAAGATTTTACCTGTTAAGAACAATTTTATACATCTGTGTTCTTTTCAGACTGAACTTTTTTAAATAGTATTTCTTTTGGTGTTCATTCAACAAAAGCTTTTTTCTTACAACACTTTTACAGACTGCAAAAACAATCTAGAAATTAGCATAACATACTCAAATCAAGCGTATTTATCCTTAATTTGAGGAGGTAAATAAGACAATTTGCCAATAGAACTACTACATTTACTCTTAAAATGAGATCACTAGATAATAAGCACGTGAAATCAGACAATTAAATTATTGTTTTCTGTTATATTGAATGTAAATAGTCTTTTTCCATTTGCAAAGTCTCATTCACCTGCTCAATTTAAGAAAAAATGCACAGATTTTAAGAAAAAAATTATTCATAATTTTTGTAGTGTATAGACTAGATTTGTGGAGCACAAAAATAACTGCAGCTCCCTTAAGCTTTTCAACCCAAGGTGTGGATTTCTACAGCTCTTCCAGAGGTACTTCCACCACATTGCCTTTTTTTCTAATTTATTACTGTCTCATGCCCCTCCTCTTAGGTGGACACTGTCTTCTGTTACTATTGCACTGTATTTGGAAAGGTGCTTGAGCAGTACAGTGTGATATATATATATATATATATATATATATAGTTACAAATTTCTCAAGCTCTATTCCTCCCCTCAAAGCACAAAATCCACAATTATGTCATATTAACAAACATATGCCAAGTTCCTCTTAAATCCCTAAGTGGGGCAGCATTACCATGGGGATCAATGTGGCTAAAGCTCACTCAACAGTTTGTAGAAAAGGCAATGTAAAAAAAAAATACCCACCAGAGCGTGTATTTATGAAGTCTTTCCCAGTGAACGAGTAAAAATCCCCAAGCTCGTCAACAAGAGATCTCAAACCATTTCTCTGACACAAAGGCCACAGGAATCAGTTGTCTTTCAGTGGGGGAGGGCCTGTTGGATAAAACAAACGCAGTTAGAAAATTATGCAGATTAACTTTGGAGAGAACAGATTACATAGTAGAAGGCTTTTTTTTTTTTTTTTACCCCAAAGACCTATAATGTGTGTCCTCTAATTATGCTCCTAGTTAGCCTTTAATGCCACTGTCAACATCCTAATGCTGTCACGTTCACATACTAAAAAAAAGCTGCTGGACTCATCAGTAGTGTTCCTGCTGAATCTGTAAAGCAGTAAAAATGCTTTTAGTGACTTGTGACAGCAACATGAAACCACCATATAAATCATTTTTCCCCTCGCTGCCAATTTACAACTGGTAATTTGTCATCATTTTTGGTCTTTTAGTTCATGACTTCACCTTTCTTCACCCAGACGATAAAACCTATCGATATACAAACAATTTAATGTTGCTTCTTCGCCATAATAGGAGCATGAGGGACATCAGGAGGAGGACTGCATGGAAAGCATATTTGAGTAATTACTTTTCTGATCTTGTGAGAGCTATTTTCTGAGATAAAGATTAACACACAGCAACATTATTTAAATAAAATGTGGTCTAGTCTTTTTTTTTCATTTTATGATTTTTTTTTTTATATCCCAGTAAAAGAGCAATAAATAAAAAGCTTCAGCCAAAAATGCCAATCTACCCAACTTAAAGGTCATTTATCAGATTTTACAACCACTGCACTATAACCTGGTGTAATACCACTGCAAATACTTATACTATTTATCTATTTAACAAACCAGAAACAACCCTTTACCTGCCACCTGTAGATAAGATACAATGTCACAAATTAATTTCTCCATTGTCAGATCAATAAAGTTATATTATATTCTATTCTTGTATTCTAAAATGGAAAGCATAAATGCATATCATATTGTCATCGGTTCTCCTAATTAATGATTTCTTTTTATTTTAGTTAATAAAAATATTTTAGAGTGAGTTTGAAAACTACAGTTGAAAATTGACTTATTTTTAATGTTCCAGTGATAGTTGCCAGTGGGTCACTCCAAAGAACACCAGTGGTCATATATTAAGTGCATCCAATATTATTTCTGACAAGCAAATGTAATTTTTCAACATAAAGGCATTCATCCACCAATCGTACCTGTTTCCATTGTAAGCTGTCTTGTAGACGGGTGTCTGCTGGATCATCTCATCGGTGTAGATGGGCACAGCAGTTCGTACGCACTCATGTGAGCACTGCAGGCTGTCATTGTAGGCAGTGAAGATGTCCACCTTACTGGGCACACGGGCCGGGGTGAAGTCTGTCAGGTTCTGGCAGCTTTCCTCCTGCTGGTGGATCTTTCTCTGATGGCTATTGTGGCGGCCATTTCCAGACTGCGCACAGCTACAAAAACACGCACCAAAGACAAAAAACAAACATAAAATCATACCTTGCACCTATTGTGCTAGTAAAATCAAAACAAACAAAGAGCTTCTGACAAAGTGCTGTGCATGAAAAGTAAAGGAATCTTTCCTACCAGTTTTTAAGGACGAGTGTTGTGATCAAGGCTGCGATCACCATGATGAGAGACACAGTGATTGTGATTATCTGGTGAACTGCCAAACCTGTAAGATAAACACATACAAAGAAAGAAATTATAGTGATTTGCAGTTAAAAGAGTTCAATTTGAGGTTTTCAAAGCTGCCAGCTGAGAAGGTGAAGGACTCTGAACAAACATAATTTAATTTAGATGTAGCTACTGTGTAAAATGCCCTTGTGTTTTACTAAAAAAAAGAGAATCTAAATCAAATAGTTCTACAGGTGTTCCCCACTCTGAGCACCGTTATGCTTTAACATTTGCATGCCTCAAAGGAGGCAGATTTTGCCTGAAGGCTTTCATTTATACGTTGACTAGAAGCAAATTTTTTTGATCCGATATATCAAATGAAATAACTGATCAAAAGCAGACACTGAAAGGTAACCTGAGTTCTTTGAAAATGGTGACAGATTGAAGAGGCAGTAAGGAACCAAAATAATTGATCTTTGGGGAATTTGAGGAAGACAACAGCAAAATTTAAGCTAAAGAAAAAGGCAAAACATCATGGAAAATAAGGAGCCATAACACCCTCCTTGGCCCCAGGAGGTGTAATGGATTCCGGGACATATCTCAGGTAGATTAATTGGGCATCTCCTGAGCAACTGATTCTAGTTTGTTGGTGTGTCACTAGTTGACAGTTACTGATAAAGCCCTTTCACCATCCAACATGGGAAACATCTCATGTTGAATAGTCATATAATTACACGTAGGCTGGTTATGAGCAATCAAGAAAAACAAAATGTTTCTCTTACAGTTTGCAAAATTACCTCATCCCTTCAGGATGTCAGTGATTCATTTAGTGATGATGGTTTTTGACATTTTTAAGTCTGTGAATAAATCATTAAAATCTAACAAGGAGAGTAAAACACTGGAGGTGAATATTCTGACCTCAAAATGTAAAAGCTCTTTTTTTGGCCAACATAATTCCTTGTTAGGGAATCAGCTATGCTAGATTAGGGATTTGCTTTAAAACTTGAAGAAAAGGAGTATAGTGGTGCATATGCAGTATTGATGGTTTTATTTTGTTAGAAGCCAGAAAAATATATTTGATTTCTGATATGCATGTGGTAAAAACAGATCCTTCTTAGAGCCTTTTTCTGTTTCTACTAGGGTTGAACGATTTTGTCAAAATTATAAATCATTACTTTTGTCAATCAATATTGCAAATGTATTTTGATTTTCTGCACTAACCACAAGCATGTAGACGTTTCACTCCAGGGTTCCGTTGTTTTTGTGGCCTTAAAAGCCTGCATGTCCAGAGTCAATTGTCATAAGACTTAACTGTTACAGTAAAAAGAGAGCTTCCTTCTTCTATCTGTTCAGTCTAACCTTTTGTTCAGCTGCAAACTTTTGTGTTTTATCAACACCTTTAGGGCTGGAGTAAGAAAGTTGAGATTGGATTCTTTTTTTATTACATCGTGACCAAAATTGTTTGTCTCTGCACTTTGAAAATAGCATTTTGAATTACAGATGAAGTTAATTGCCCAGCCCTAGTTTATATTCAACAGTTTCAGCTGTTACAACAATTAGTGGAGTTTGCGTTAAAGCAGAAATGTTGTGTACCTTTATAGAATGTATAGTTTACCTATTTTGAAGAAAAATGATTTACCTTCTGGATGTATAATTTACTTTTTATAAACATTCTGAGGATTTATTAGATTATCTTTTATTAGTTTGTGTAATGAGATTACCGTAGATTTTTGAACTGGGGGTGCGATGATCAAACTGTTAGCAAACAATTTCATTTTCTTATTTTTGTCTCATTAAGGCTCTAACAAGTGCTTAAATTGTTACTTTTGAAAACTACCTATGGATCCGTCGCTTGATGTAACCCTGTTATGTTAGCATGTTACCTGCTCATAATGTTATTACTTATTATAGAAAGTATAACATATATAATTTCCCCAGAGTGCAGCCAAACAAATATACCCAGTGAAGGGTGTAAAAACAGTCCTTTATTCCTCTCTAGTTGTTAAATGACTGGGTCTACACTCCTGAACTGAGTGTTTTCCTGGTCCTCTGTATTTAGAATGGCACCTGCATCTACGTAAGCATAGAGCTAAGGATAATTTCCATACCATAGGTTTTGGTATTTTAGTGTCCAGTCTTTGTGCAATTATTGTGCTAATTTTTGGGGATCTAGCAGCCCTTTTTTCCCCCAATGACTGTGTCCTAAAGGTCCTGTCTGGGCTAATGAAGGCCCCGCTTTACTGTCATCAGAAACTGCCTGCTGGTCAGGAGTGACGCTACCTGATCCATCATGGAAGCAAGATCTGTCCATCAGCTGATTTGCACATGCTCAACTAGTTTATGTATATATATATATATATATATATATATATATATATATATATATACTACTATGGGCAGTACATCCTCCCGAACCCTGAGAGGGCACTGATCCTCTTCCCGGCTGCTTCACACTATATATTTATAAATATATGTTCCTTAGAATACATTAATACATTGTCAAGTAATTCTGCTAACAAACCAAGATAACAAAAACACTGCTTTCTTGATCAGATCGGGACTTCGAGCAAGGCAGGGCTTTTTTATTTGTACTTAAAAATACAATAAATAATTCCCCCGCACTTTTTGAGTCCAATTTTTATTCTCTACTGCCGCCCGGAGGACCAGCGTGGTAAAGACCATAGCGTGAAAGATGAATAGCAATGGGGTAATGAATCAACTGTGGCGAAACAATGTCATATCATAATGTTGAGCATAGGAAAACGGTTTTGTTTTGTATTGTATTCCTGCACCACCACCAGATCAATCAGATTTTTAGTGGGGGGACAGATTTCTCTGAGGATTACAATCACATTTTCCACACTGGGATCGGAAATTACAGAATTTGTATACAACTTGAACACCCCATTAGTCAAAACAAACTGACTGCATTATGCAATACAACACTGTCCAATCATCCAGGACCCTGAGCAACCGACCACTTACATTCAAAGTACAAATGTAGAGCTCAGAAGAAGCCATTTCTGAGAGTTATCAAGAAGCCTTGAGGAGCTGTTAGTTTAACTGGCTTTTCTAAATAGTGCTTAGTGTGGGAGTGTTTGCATGGTTGTATGTCTTCATGTTTCTCTAAGTTGCTCTGTGACAGACATGCGACCTGTCCAAGGTGAATCCTACCTCTCGCTCATAGACAGTGATAGGCACCTGCCCCAGCATGACTCCAATGGAATAAGTTGATGAAGACGGATGGATGGACTTTTTAATTAAAATCAATACTTTTATTCTAAGCCACCCAAGATGTTATCCTCACATTAATGGCTCCTTATTTTACTACCTGACGGTCATCTGTCACCGCTTCAACTGGTCCTACAGTAGATCAACTGAACACAGAAGTCAAGGTGAAAGAGAAAGGAAATAACAATTCTTCCCATAATCATTGTTACACTAAAGAAAGATAAAAAAACGCAGCAATCTAACACACTTACAATACATATTCCAGGTCATAGATCTGTTCAGATCCATACGATATCAGATTAAAAATGGCATTATCTAATTATTTTTATTTACAACATTTTTATTCAGACTCTCAAGTAAGATCTCTTTCTGTTTCTTTTTTTTTATCAAAAGGCAGTTATCCACAAACTCAACTTTGTATGACGTGTTTAAAGCGAGGATTAGTTCAGGACCACTGCACTGTACTTAAAGGTATATTTGTGTGAGTGAGTGATAGAGCTTGAGAGCAACTAGGGCAGAATGACACACTGTAGCAGGTGACATACTGCAGCGGGACAAAATATATAAATAAAAAGAAAAGCTGTTATGATGAAAATGCCCATGTGGGCTTTATACATCTCACCTCTCTGTCAGCCAGCTGCCTAGCTGCTGATCCAAGCCAATTTGTCTTCTAAAAACGCTCAAAAGGAAGTGCTACTCGTTGGTTTTGGAAAAGAACACAACTTCTCCCCCCAGACTCCATCCTGCCTGGGCAGTCTCCACTCAGATAATAAAGTTCTGTGGGCAGATCAAGTCAAGCTTGAATTAATGATAGCTCCGGTTGGTTCTGGGAAGCCTCACCTTGCTTGCCAGTGCAATCAAGTCCCTTGCCATGACAAAAGCACATTTAGTTCTCCGGCACACCATCTGCATTCCAACAAACCACTCATCTCTTTCCTCCATCTCTCTGTCTGTCTGTCTAAGTTGTAATGTTGAAACAGGAAAAGTGAGCATGTGTTTCCCTTAACTCGGTCAAAGGTCAAGGTGTCCACTGATGAGAATCTGTTTGTCCTATGTTGATTTCAAATTGAAAAGCAGAACCTTTCTAATGGTAGATTTTATATCAAAAACTGCATTTAGTGGACCTGCCTTGTAAAACTCTAACTTATTAGAACACATTATAGGCTAAATTAGTTTCTGCTTCAAGTTTCCAACAGAAGCTACTTTATTAATCTTGATAAGAGGAAGCTGACTGACACACTTGGTAAACAAGAACATTTTGTTTGCAGTTTAGTCAGGGTACTTAAGTCAGAGTAGATCATTAAGAACTACATCAGGGTGCCATTTGGGGCCAAAATATGCATACAGTCTAAGTACAGTCCCTTAATGAAACAAATGACGCTGAAAATGCGAGTCTCAGCAACACAAACTAAATGTTTAGCCTCATATAACCCCATTTTTTAAGGCTCCATATTTAAGAGTTCTTTCATGGCAGAGGAGAGCATTCAAACATATAAGTCAGGAGGTTGATTCTGTTTTCATTCACAACTGCCAGTTGCAGGGAGAAAAAATTGGCCTGTGGATCTAAAAGTCATTTGGAGTTTGTGAAAGAACCGTTGCATGCACCTGACTTTGAAAATACCCAGGAAGGTGTTGTTTGGTCAATTTTCTGTCAAAACTAGAGAGATGGAGAGGCAGTTTGGATTGACCTGAGAAGAGGAAAGGAATCAAAAAAAAAAAACTGAGTGAAAGAACGGACATTCTGCTTGCATCACATTTTGTTAAAAAGAGTTTGCTAAAGTAGTAAACAAGAAATATATATATACAGTATAAAAAATGACTAACAAG